TCATCTGCAAACCTTAGGTGATTTAATCTTTCTCCATCTATATTGATGCCCATATCTTGCCATTAAGTACCATTAAATATTGACTCTAGAGCTGCTGTGAACAATTTTGGTGAAATATTGTCTCCTTGTCTAACTCCTCGACCTAAGCTGAATTTTTCTGTGTCTTCGTGCAGTCGTATACTTGATGTAGCGTTCTGATAGATGTTTTTGATTAGTGTCGTGTACCTGTAATCTATTCGGCTTTGATTTAGGGCTTCCAGTATTGTTTCAAACTCTACAGAATCAAAAGCCTTCTCGTAATCGACAAATGCAAGAACCAGTGGTATGTTGTACTCGATGCACTTTTCTATTAAGATCTTTATGGTATGCAAATGGTCATTTATGCCATATCCTGCCCTGAAGCCTGCCTGTTCTTTGGGCTGATGAAAGCAAGTTTAGGTGTTAGCCTCTTTGTTAAGATTTTCATAAAGAGTTTGTACATATGTGTCAAGAGGCTGATGGGTCTATAATTTTCTAATTTAGTAATATCGCCTTTTTTGTGTAACAAGACTATTACTGCATTGTTCCAGTCTTTTGGAATCGTACCCTCATGTAAGCATTTAGTAAACAGTTCGCTTACTGATTTTAATAAAATTTCTCCACCTGCTTTTATTGCCTCGATAACGAGTCCATCATCACCAGGCGATCGATGGTTCTTCATTTCCTTTAAAGCCCAGAAATTAAACGTACATACGACGTAGCAAAGCAGTTATTTAAATTTGGTTCTTTTTAAGACAAATTGTAAAATAAAAAGGTATGTAAAATTAATTGTATTTTTGTAATTTTGTAATTTTTGTAATTTTTGTAAAATTAAACGGGCAATAGTTTATGCAGTCCATTTAAGACGACAAAGGGACTACTACAGGGTTGCTCCACATCCCATACCCTGTTCAAAATATTCCTGGAAAAAACCCTGAAACCATTGAAAAGAAAGTGCGAAGGAATGGGTACGTACTATATACCAAGTATGCTGATGACCAAATAGTGATCGCACAAAACGAGGATGACTTTAGTTTTATGATGAGAAAACTGCAGCAGGAATATACAAAAAATGGGATGGAAATAAACCTAAAGAAAACTGAATACCTAACAACGGAGAATACAGAAATAAAACAGCTGGAAATAGACGAAGGTAAACAAATCAAAGGAACAGACAAGTATAAGTATTTAGGTTTCATAATATCAAACAAAGGAACAACGGAGGAAGATATAAAAAATAGGCTAGGACAAACAAGAGACTGCATACGAAAATTGAACCTGGTACTATGGGATAAGACCATCAGCATGAAAACAAAGAAAAAAATATATAATACCATGACAAGAAGTATCCTCACTTATGGGTGTGAAAATTGGACAATAAATAAGAAAACCAAAAACAAAATAAGAGCAACAGAGATGGAATTCCTAAGGAGAAGCTGCAGAGTAACAAGAAGAGATAGAATAAATAACATGGAGATTAAGAGGAGAATGGGAATGAACTCCGACATAATAGACTACATCGAACAGAAGAGGTTAACCTGGTACGGACATGTCAGAAGAGCAGACCAAAATCGGTGGATAAATAGAATAACAGAGTGGAGCCCGATAGGAAGAAGAAAGAGAGGCAGACCCCGAAGATCTTTCAGAGATGAAGTGGACGAAGCAATGAGAAGAAGAAACCTACAGGAAGGGGACTGGCTAAACAGGAAAAATTGGAGAAAACGGTTGAGTGAAGGAATACAGTGAAAACTGTGGAAATCCTTGTATAAATATAAAATTAATTGTGCTCAAATAAAATGAAAATATTCGCAGGTTACAATATTACCTTAACATAGAACTATACCTTGCTTAGACGAACAATTAATCTGAGTCTGTTATACTTAAACACTTGTTTGATTGTTTGGCTCTCGCCTTATGTTGGAGGAAAGGGACATTAACAACAAGAACCATAAGACTATAATCTACCTTCTAATATTATTGATTGCTCTTACAGCTCTTAAATTTCTTCTTGCCAATAATTCTTTCTCTACTAAATTTTTATATATAAAATACTTTTCAAACGTCGTCGCATAAATCGAGTTAACCTAAATCTGCATTGTATCGATATATAAAGAATCACCCGATATCTCCGGAAACCCCATCATTTTATTATTTCGCCGACTAATCGAATTTGTGACGCACGTGCAGGTGTAATTCATTGATACCCATTAAGATCATTACGTCTATAACACACCGGCATCACATCATAAGATAACCCTTTTATTAAATTAACGAATTCGCTCTACCTTGTAAATTAAACCAAATTTGACTTTGATAGAGCACCAAATTTAATTTAATAATTTAATTTGACTAGTACGATGGTCGATTTCAGTTTGGCGAGAGGAAAGTCGACGGGGAAAACAATAATGTCAGTAGCTTGCGATGTCGAAAAGGGTATTTTAATTTTAATTTTAATTTTATTCATGAATTTTGGGAACTATGACCGGGAGCGAAAGGGAATAAGATAAGGTTTTAAATATACAGGAAATAAAGTAAAGGGATGCTATTTAACTATATATTAAACAATTACTAGAGGCTTCATATAGCTCAAGAAGTTTTGGTGCTTAATATTTGTTATTGTCAAATTGTACGTTTTTAATTAATATAATTTCTGGGATAAAGATGCGGAAAAATTAAAAAAAAAACAAATAAAAAAAATCAATTAAAAAAACAATGATTTTTATTTGGCAATTTTGCATGTTTTCAAAATCAAAGCTTCTTGTGTAAACAGTCAATCCTCTAAAGCTCAACATATTCAAATCCGTAATGACCTAAAGCAAATTTTCAAGCAACAACAGTATCATACCTTGAAAACCCACTGGAACACAATCAATAGTACATTACATGAGATCCGATAGACTGTTGAAACATTTGAACTTCCAAAAATGTCTAGAGATGAAAAAGCTGTCATCTGAAGATTAAGAATAGGACATACCCGATTCACACATGAATGTTTAATGAAGTATTAACCGAGCCGAGCCGAAGCAAAATTGCCAAATCTGTTCAAGTTTATTAACTATCCTGATCGAGTGTCCCTGGTATGCAAAATACAGAGTGCAACATAAACTTAAGCCAAATATCAAAGACGTTTTAAACTCACCCGATCAAGTCTTTAACCTAATTGGTTTCTTGAAAGACATTCAGTTTCAACAGAATATGACCCTTGTTTTCCATGTACTTTACCTTTAACTTATAACTTAGTGATAAAAGTGTTGTATTATTTAGTCATATGTTCTAAGCTTATAGGTTAACTGTAGCAATTAGTAACATGTGCTTATTGTAATTATTGTATGCAATATTGTTTGTGTCAAAGGCCATTGCAGCCAAGACACATTAATTTAAATAAAAAAAGTCAAAATAACGGGAAAGAAATTGGCACTTATTTTAAATAATGGTGAACGCACCAATGATGTCGATATTTTGGTGCAGGAACCAGGGAAATAAGTAAAATATGTCAGGAAACTAGGAAAATTGTCAAAGCATAACTCATAGTCAGTCGAACGCCGCGTACGTTCGTCAAAATCAAAGAAATGGTTCTCTATGATAACGGTTTTAGGTTCGAAATCAACTGCGATTTGATTTGGACGCAAACGTTCAGCTGAGCTCACAGCGTATACATCTATATCAAAATTATATTGTATTGATGATATCCGGTGTATGATGATCCGGTGGGAACTCCACCGAGCCTTTGGGAGTTGACCAAAGGCCAACTGCCCTTTGAGTTCTATCAGAGTCTTGATCTGGGAACAACGCCACTCTCCTTAGGGTATTGATAGAAAGCCAAGCGCTTTTGCTATAATGTTGATCTAGTGGCAGCTTCGAACCAGTCTTGGAGTGTTAATCTGAAAAGTACCCGTTCCGAGATTAAGTATTGATTACACACTAGCCGACTCGAGTTTTAATCGAATCGTCTACCTCTAACCCAGAATATTCCTTCTCTTTAGCGTAAGTGTGTATTAACATAATAAGGATAGAAATATAATTAATATGTTTCTTATTTTTGTTTCGAGTTTTGACATTTCTTCTTCTTCTTACGGTGCCTATCCGTTCCGGATGTTGGCGATCAACATGGCTATCCTAACTTTGCTTGCTGCTATTCTGAATAGTCCGGTTGTCGATGTATTAAACCACTTTCTCAGGTTTTGAAGCCAAGATATTCTTCTTCTCCCTGGTCCTCTCTTTCCAAATACCTTGTCCTGAAGAATGAGTTGCAACAAGCCGTATCTCTGTTCATTCCTCATAACATGGCCAAGATATTCTAGTTTGCGCTCTTTGATGGTGTTAATAATCTCGCATTCCTTGCCTATTCTACGTAGGACCTCAAAATTAGTCACACGATCCACCCATGAAATTCTTAAGATACGTCTGTAACACCACATCTCGAATTCCTCGAGTTTTCTTAAGGATGCTTCGGAAAGTGTCCAGGCCTCTACTCCGTATAATTAGGTAGAAAATACATAGCATCTAATGAGAGAAATTTTGGTAGCAAGTGGTAAATCATGACTTCAGAAAAGAGACTTCATCATTATGAAAGCTGATCTCGCTTTCCCTATGCGTTGTTTTATTTCACTGGAGTGATCATGACATTAAGTTTATGACATTAAGTGTATTTATTTTTTGCAGGTGTAAATAGTGTTTACAGGATCTAATTTTATTTTATTATTTATTTATTTAGTATATATTTTTATTGAAAAGTCTAAAATAGTCTGCTATATAAAAAAACACTTCACAATGTTCATAGGACCACTAACTCCCTAAATACAGAAATATACAATAATTTCTCTTGCTATGCTACTTTTATAATATCTTATGGCTGGTGATCCAATCACTAGAAGCCAAAACACTACAAAAATAGAGTTAATATTATACTAAAATAAGAAATTATAAGTTAAAATTTTCAGTTCGTTGTCATAGTCGTACTTTGTATTAATTATATATCTTACCGTTCTTTTCGCAAAACGACCATCGAGTAGAAGTGATGACAGTATTGAAGAGACAAGCCGCTCTGTGAATTTCGCAGTGGTTCGAGTATATCCTTCCATCGGTAGCGCATACTTGTCGCTCGTGTGGTGGGCAGCTCGTTTGACAAACGCAGGTCGGTTCTCCATCTTTGACTACACATTCTCTACCTTTCCGACAGTAATGAACCAAGCAGGGATCTGAAAGAAATACAGAGAAATCTGATTTAATAGACACTACTCTTTATGGAGCATGACTTGGGCGTAGAAAAAGCACAGGGTGTCAAAAAAATGTTATCGTATGGACGGTTTCGCTTGTGATAATGTATATGAGGAAATTCTTGAATTAGTGAAGTAGTCCCTCACCAGTAAAGGACTCTGTTCATAAAGTACCACGAACCGTTCAGATCTGCTGATTTTAATATATATATATATATATATATATATAATATATATATATATATATATATATATATATATATATTATATATATATATATATATATATATATATATATCGGTTTTAAAACGTTCTCCTACGTCTTCCGATGCCTAGTCGCCATTCACTTCGGTCCATCCAAAGGTCTTCATCTAATTCTCTTTCTCTCATACTTCGATTTATGCCTTCTCTCCAACTAAGGCGGGGTCTTCCTCTTTTTCGTCTACCATGAGGGGTCCACGTTAGGATTTGTTTCGGGAGTCGTTCTTCGGACATTCTTTGTACGTGTCCATACCATCTAAGCTGTTTGGTACTAATGTCATCTACTATTGTGTGTTTCACATTCATTATTTCCCTAATTCTGTTGTTGGTTACCCTTTCTAATCTTGATTTTCCTGCTGAGCGCCTCCAGAAATCCATTTCTGTTGCTTCAAGTTTTCTCTTGTATCTTTCTTTTATTTGCCATACTTCACTGCTGTAAGTGATTATACTCTTAACAATTGTATTGTATATTCTATGTTTGTTGTTGTTTGATATTGCCTGGTCCCACAGTATGCTATTGAGAAGGGTAATTGCTTTTCTTCCCTGGTTGTTTCTTTCTTCTATCGTCCGGTCTACGTTTCCTTCTTGTGTGATGGTCATACCCAGGTATTTATATGCGTCGCAATGTTTAATAATTTCGCCATTCCCCAGTGTAAGGTCCTGCTGTGTCCCACCGATACACATATATTCGGTCTTTTTTATGTTTATTTCCAAACCACCTTTTTTGTACTCCTCTATTAATTTCCTTGTCATATATTCTATATCATCGTAGTCTTGCGCTAGTACAAGTTGGTCGTCTGCAAATGACAAAGTGTATATTGTATTGTTGTTGATCGGTAATCCCATGTTTTTGCATTTGCGTTTCCAAAGTTTTAGAGTTTGCTCGAGGTAGATCTTAAATAATGTCGGTGAAAGGCAGCACCCTTGTTTTAGGCCTTTGCTAATTTGGAATCCTCTCGATAGCCCGCTTCCAACTTTCACCCTTGCTGCAGTTTTGGTATACAATTGTTTCGTCGCTGTTATTAAATTTGCGCTTATATTGGTTTTCTCTAATGCTTCCCATAGTTTGTTTTGTGGGATGCTATCATACGCTTTTCTCAAGTCCACATATAACAGATGCACCTCCTGGTTGACGGCCAGTTTCTTCTCAATAATCTGTGTAATACAAAACAGATGGTCTACCGTTGATCTCCCTGTCCGGAATCCTGCCTGTTCTTCAACTTCTATATCTTTATATTCGTTTTCGATTTTATTTTTAATCAGTTTTCCGTATATTCGGCTGATCGAGTTCGTTACAGCGATGCCTCTGTAGTTGTCACATTGATCCCGTCTGCCTTTTTTATGTATGGTGGATATCCATGATGTCTTCCATTCTTCTGGGATTTCCGCTCCGTTGATGTATCTTTGAAAGAGTTTAGCCAGGTTTTCATATAATTTTGTTGTGCCATATTTTATTAGTTCAGCTGGTATGTTCCCTGGTCCTGGTGCTTTGTTATTTTTTAAAGACTTACATACTTCTTCTACTTCTTTTGTTGTTATTCGTAATGGTGAGGCTAAGATATTTACGTTGCTGGTATCACTGTTATTTAAAAATTCCGCTCTGTCCTCATTTAGGAGTTTTTTAAAATATTCGTCCCATTGATCCGGTGTGATTGATGATATTATATCTCTTTTCTTTTCCTGTCGTAGCGATTTTAATACTTTCCAACTTTCTGTACTTCTCCGTCCTCCTAAATGTGTGTTAATCATGTTACACTTTTGCTCCCAAGCCTCATTCTTCTTTTGGCATATCATTTTTCGCACTTTAGCTTGGGTCCTCTTGTATTCTACCTTATCAGCGTCGGTCCTTGTGTTCAGAAATTTTTTATACTTCTCTCTTTTATTTTTAATCTCTTGTTCTATTTCTTCGTCCCACCAATACGAAGTTTTTCTGTGGTTTTTTACTTGGAGTCCGAGAGCCTCTGTTGCTGCTTCCTGAAGACATGTTTTTATATAATGATAATGCTCTTCATTGCTGGTAAATTGCATGGTTTCTAACTTTTTATCTAGTCTACTCCTGTATAAATCCCTCACGCTTTCTTGTTCTAAGCTGTTTAGGTTGTATTTCTTTTCTGTTAGTTTTTCTATTTCCTCTGCAGCTTCTTTTAAATCTCTTGCTCTATCTATTCCTATTGTGAGCTTTGTTTTTAATAGATGGTGGTCACTGCCGCAAGTGGCTCCTCTATATACCCGCACATCCTGTACAATCAATTTAGTCTTTTGTCTTATGATTGTATAGTCTATGATTGATTTCAGCCCTCGGGTATTTTGTGTCCATGTATATTTATGGATATCTCGGTGTTGAAAGAATCCATTTGTGATTTTCATATCATTTTGTTCGCATAGGGCTATTAGTCTAGTACCGTTGTCATTTATAGCCTCTTCACCATATTGGCCTATGACTTTGTTGTGTTGTTTCTTGCCTGTTCTACTGTTTAGGTCCCCCAAGATTATAATTTCTCGTGATCTGCCGATATTTGCAATTTCTGAATGTAGCTTTTCAAAAAAGTCGTCTTTAATATTCACCAGTGCATCATCGTTTACTGCATATACTCCAATAATTGTAATCTTTTTTCCTTTGATAGTTAGATTCATTTTTATGAGCCTTTCGTTGATGGCTTCCCAAGCAGTTATGAATCTCCTTAGTTTCTTGCGTATAAGTATACCTACGCCTTGTTGGGCTCTTTTCTCTTTTGGTACCCCGCTGTAGAAGTAATCATATTCTCCGATATTTTCTGATCCTTGACCTTTTCGTTTTGTTTCGGTAATCACTGCGATGTCTATGTTCAGTCTATTTATTTCATGTATTACTTCATTTATTTTCTGTTTAAACCCTTGTACGTTCCAAGTTCCAATATTCATTATCCTTTTCCGTAGCATGTGTCGTCGTGCTATAATCCATCGATTCCGAGGTGTTTCGCTAGGTTTTTTAACAGTTTGAATTTTTCCGAGTAACGGGGAGTTAACCCGATGCCTCAACCCCCGACCTGGAGGACCAGGGTTTGATTTTGGAGTATTCCTTCTCCTAGAGGATTTGCTTTCTCTACAGCTTTAGAGCATCCTCCGCCCTACCTGTTGGTCCGCGGGTAGTATTTTATTTCCTACCTATCCGCCAGCACTAGGCTGGTGAGGACATGCCCCTATCCGCCACCTTGGGGACGCGCTCTCTAGGGGTTACAGGTTCCCCCGAGAGCGTTCCCTGCTGATTTTAATGCTTCTTAAAATTCTCTAAATTAATCTGCAGAATTATACAGTTGAATACATTTTTTTCTACTTTCTTTTCTACATTTTTTTATTTCCTTTTTAATATTCCAAATATTCCGGTGTAGTAGCCCAACCTTGTAACTTTTATGATCGCCTTTTACATCCTTGTATATGGTTAATTATAAGTGGTATAATTGCAGTTCCGTCGACTTGTTCAGAGCTGCAATCTCAAAAGTGAAAATAGCTGTGATGATTACCAACCTCCTTAGAGGAAATGGTACATAAAGAAAAAGAACATTATTCGACAGTCATTTCTCAATAAAAATCTTAGAGATTGCTTATTTTGAGGAATATTTGTTTGGAATCTGGTTATTCGTTATGTATCTGGTTAATGTATCCATTATTTCTTGGTCCATTCCATCAAGAGTAGAGCTCGGCTTTTGGGAATAGTTTTAATAGCTTCAAAATCTAACTTATAAGTAACATATAAGCAGTCAGTTTTAGTTTTTTTTAAGTTAAGTTAAGTAGTACTTTTGAAATAAAAAAAACACCAATATTATGTGTACTCACTTGTTTCCAATAAAATGATATGTGTAGTTTCCGGTAAGAGAGTTGTTTCGGAATCTCGATGATGTCTCGATCTCTGTAACAAAAAAAATGAAATTAACCTTAAAATATAACCTTATTTTTCTTGTTATTTATTAATTTGTGTGTAAAATTGTTATTAATGTGTCTGTATCAAAAAGAATCGACGACATCTTGTGGCGCTAGTTCCGTGACGCTCCTCTTAGAATTTTACTATAAGAAAGAAGTAAATTACAATGCCAGTATAGAAGCTTTGTTTCAAAAATGGCTTATATACTTGTATACACATATAACCTTATATAAAAGGAGTTTCAAAATTGTTTTCTTTTCTGTAAAAATTTCATTGCGCTCTTCGCAAAACTTAATAATCAACCGCAACAATTGGGGAATTGAAACAGCTCGCAGACATTGCAATCTAGATTCCAATTCAACGAACTGTTTTAAAGGAAAAATTATAACCGCTTCTAAGTCTCACAATGGAAACATAAAAATGCTAATTAATTCAGCAGCCGTTTTTTTCAAGGTAAAGATCTCCCCACTGACCTTTTCGCCGCCGGTCTTTGTCCCCGATAATCGTATCTTCTCATCGTCTTTCGGGGAAGCACCGTAATATAATATCAGTCGGTAAAACAGGAAATCTTATTATCCCTGTTACATGCAGACGTAACTAAGGTTCGGACCCGATTTCCTTTTTTCTTTGTACAATTCTGGAAATTGAGAAATACGTAAAAGGAGATTGACAATCGACAGAGGCACGTACGACAGATAATTGCATTTTTTAGGCATCCGTCCATAATTCATAAGAGCTGTTCTTTGCGAATTTAAAAAGGAATTATTGTTCGCCAATCTGTAGGTCCCTGTTTCATGGGAAATATAAAAAGGAATATAAAGTAGAATTTAAGATTACGTGTTTAAGATTTGCTAATAATATAGCAGTTAAAAGATCGTTTCAGATATTTATTTTCTTATGTACCATTAAACGATGTTAATTCCGATAATATTTTTGCGAATAAGAAGAGAAAATTCACAATTTTGAGGTAATTTACTTATTTTGAAACACTTACTTCTTTTACTATATTTTGTATGTATTAAAGACTCGTTATTAAAAATTTTTTCATGTCCTGTTTTTAATAGAATAGAATAGAATAGAAACTAACTGTTTTATTACATTAATTTCTTTATTGACTTCGTCTTTATATACGAGCAGTTTGAAGGCTCTAGTTAAAAAACTATTGAAAGTTGACATTTTATGGGAGAATGGATGGTTTAATAAAAATTAATGCATTTGTAGTTGTGAGTTTTCTGTAGACTTTTTTGATATCTTAAAATTAAAAGATCTAGAAAAGAAAGTGAAGAATTAGTTTTGAACTTTATAGTAAATTTTATCCTCGAGTGCAAGGTGTTGATATAGTTTAAAAATTTAATTGCTTCTTCTTTTTAACCTAGACTAAGAACAAAATAGTCATCAACACATCTGGCATCAATGGCTCTAAGTTACTTAAGAATATTTCTTCCAAGAGCAGTGAGAAGTTGCTACCCATGGACAAGCTCTAGTTTTATATGTAAACACACATTAGACAGATACTTTTTATTATGACATATTTTACAGTTATTTTTTGCGGTACTCATCCGAATCGAAATCATCCGAAAACCAGGCCATCCTCTACATAACGGGCCCTTTTCCCATTATAAAAGAATGGGAGAAGGGCCTACGAACCATCACAGACCACAGCCATATTTCCATATCCAAGCAAAAAACCTCAGAATACATAGATAACAAAAACACTACACCAAGAATCCTCGTCCACCCAAGAAAACACCAAAAAACACACACACACAGAGCAATACCACCCTACCCCGTCCACATCCAAATCAGACACTCCCTACCTCGATTCTCCATCCCCTAACCCCTGCAGTCACACCTCCTCACGCACACACTCCAACAATATCTCCCACACACACACACATACACACAAACACCCACCACACCTCCACAAATAACCCTCCCCTCCCTTCTTCAACAACCACCACCCATCCAAAGTTACAAAATCGATTATATCCCCTCAGATATCTGCCAGCAGAGATCCTTCTACCGTCTCATCAAAGAACACAACCTTTTCCTTCAATTGGACTCAATCAAAGTCCTGCCATCCCAAAAGGCAGCCTCCGTAATATCACTCAAGATGATCCCATCTTAACCCACCCATCTTAATTACTGCACGTCAACCTAGCAAATCAGGCAGAAGATAAGACACGCGAGAACACAATTTCATAGTAAAGAATGTAATGGAATTGAACAATATGAAAAAAAACATGATACATTTCATCTGCACAAGAAATTAAAAGAGGTCGCTGGAAACAAACGGAAACAAGTACAATGAACAGTTAAAAGAATGGGAAAACTACATTTCTGAATTATTTGAAGATAAGAAAGTAGAGAACTATACACCAAAGTTTTTGGGAGAAAATGGAATTAAAGCTCTGTGTAATCTCTTTAACAGAATTTATGACACTGGAATATTACCAACTGATTGGTTAAAGTCGACATTTGTCACAATACCTAAAAAACATCGTCCAAAGACATACGGTGATTATCGGACAATAAGTCTGATGAGTCATGTTTTGAAGATCTTCCTGCGAGTAATACACAGCAGAATTTACACGCTGTTAGAGGACAGAATCTGCAATACTTAGTTTGGGTTTAGGAGTGGCTTGGGTACAAGAGAAGCCTTGTGTAGTATGCAGGTGCTAGTACAGAGATGCAAAGATATAAATCAAAATGTGTACATTTATGCAATCGATTTTGAAAAGGCTTTTGACAAAGTCCGACATAACAAAATGCTAGAATTATTGGAAACAGCTAGATTAGATGATAACGATCTACGAATAATTACAAATCTATACTGGCATTAAGTGGCAAGATTAAAGGTTGAACAAAAACTGTCGGATAAAATAAATATAAAAAGAGGAGTGAGACAAGGCTGTATATTGTCGACTTTACTTTTTAAATTATATTCGGAGGAAATATTTAAGGAAGCCTTAATGGAGACAACCGAAGTTATTATTGTGAATGGAGTAACCGTCAACAATATTAAATATGCCGACGATACATTAGTGCTTGCTAATTGCGGAGAAGACCTTCAAAATCTAATGAACAAAATAAAACAGACTTGAAACAATTAGACATGAGACTAACGGATTTCAAAATTGACAGTTCTCAGTCAAATAGTGATTATTTTGAAATACAAAAACTTAAAACATATAAATATATAAATATATATATATATATATATATATACTTATATATATATAATACTAAATATATATGCAGAAGGAACATTTTTATTCTCGAGAGAGGAAGAGAGAGAAAATATATCTTCTGTCTCTCTCTTACTCATTATCTTATATATATAATGGTTTCAAAGATTCACTCTCATGCAAATTTCCAACGCCGACCGTGCATATAGAAGTATAACTTTAAAAAACGGTTCAAATAAAAAATGTAGCCGAGATAATTTTAAACAAAAATATTAATTATAGTTTATTTTTATGAACGAGAGAGTAATTAGCATAATTTTAACTGGTACCTCCGACCACTCCATGGGCGTGCTCAAGATTAATTGAAAAATTACTTTGAATAATTGTAAAAAATAAATGAATTATTTCAGTGTTATAAAGTGTTATGTGTATGTAAACAAAAGTGACCTCTTTTATCACACACTATATTAGAACTGACTGGCCTACATTAAAAAGGGTTTTAAAAAATTCACATTTTTTTTAATTTTTAAAAATTACAAAAGAGAAAAAGAGTTTTTAAAACCGTCTAAGGTATGTTAAATAGATGAATAAAAATATTAATATAAAACTTACAGCTACTTGTTACAAATCCAAATCAGATTCAGAAGATGAACTTTCAGAACCAAGATTTATAATAACTGGCTCGATCATTTTATCAGTAATATTGTCCAGCTTCCACATTTTTTCCTCTTCTTTAATAGTGTGATTTACTGCCTTTTCCCAGTTTTCAGGTTTTACATTATTTACGGCCTCCAAAAACAACTGTTTAACATCATGAATTTTAAAAGTGGTATTTTTTCTTGAAACTTCACTCTTTATCTGTGCCCATACCAGTTCAATCGGGTTTAATTCACAATGATATGGTGGGGATCTAAGTACTGTCATTCCACGATTTTTGGCAATTTCATCAATTTCGTATTTTTTAAATTTTTCTTTATGAAGGGCACACAACGAATAAAGTTCCTTTCTTATAGATCCGGGATGGTACGTAATATTTTTTGAACTCAGCCAATTCTGCAAGTCTTTTTTTAACCACTTGGTTGTGGGCAGTCCTTCTATAAGTCTGGAGTGATAACTTGCATTATCCATTACTATTACACAGTTCTTAGGAAGAAGATCTATCATTTGTTCGAACCATTCTTGAAAGACATCAGCGTTCATGTCTTCATGGTAGTCACCGGTACGAGTTGATTCAAAAGTTAATAAACCACCTTCAACAAAACCGTCTGAACTGCCAATGTGTACTATTATCAGCCTGCGTCCCTTTCCTGATGGTGGGTTTAAACCAGTAGATAAGTTATTTACAAAAGCGTGCCTTTGACTTGTAACAGTTTCATCCTGCCAAAATTTATTTGGTGTATGACCCTCGTTGATCCATGTTTCATCAAGATAAAATATTTTTCTTTTTTGGTTTCTCATTTCCTTTATGGTTCTTAGAAAATGTCTTCTCCATATGACAATATCGCTTCTTTCTAATAAAATAGACTTTCTGGGATTCTTTTTCCAGCGGAAGCCTATTTCTTTTAAAAGTTTCCATAACGTACTTCGACTCATTTCTGGGTAATCCTTATCATCTCGAACTGAGACAAGAACTTTATCCAATGTTGGAAATTCTTGTCTAAAGAAGAATTCATGCACTTTCCGTCGAAGTCCTTCTTTAAAATGATATTCTATTTGAAATTTTGGTTTCCCTGGAGCATTACGTGGCATTTGAAAACTACCACATTTCTCTTCTTTAATAACTCTGTAAATCGTAGATTT